AAATAAAAAATATTACATGTATCTCTAAATGATTTTGTTGATCACAGACACAATAGCATAGGATTCTATAATTATCTCAGTCAAACCGGGATTATCCGGATTAACTTTATAAACCCTTAAGCTCTAATTTAGCTGCAAAGATCATTTTTAATTTTGAATAACCATTAATCATTTAAATTTTTTTGTAATTTGATTAATCAAAGCTGTTTCGACTGCACCTGGCGCTAAACCTGGCGAGTCATACAGATCATCCGGAATAGTTATTGTCATAATCATTGATTATCAGAACTTACCATTCAAGGTAGGCTATTTTACTGTTTAAATAATTTATATATAAACTATGTAATCAACTGACTTATATATTAAATTTAATATATGTTGATGATGATAATGTAGAATACCATAACATACAAATATCGCCCGCAATATATTCCGGGTAATGAGTACAAATCCGTTGAAAATATATTTATGCCGAATGGTTCGTACGTGGTAAAAGAAAGACATGGGTATGTGATAAACCTTTATTATTTTAGCTGATTCATTATTAATCTTTAGTTGTCTTATCGATTTATAAATTTATTGCAATTAATTATTAGCCTTCGATTAATATTTCAACAAAACGGAGAAATAGGCAGATTCGATTTCATTTCGTTACTTCAAAATATCGTGGCCGGTTTTGCTCTTTTCGTAAGTAATAATTCAAATTAGTTAATTTTTATTATTTACGATATGATGGATAATTTGAATATTAACCAATCCAATCAACAAATTGATAAACAGTCACTCGCCACAATTATAGTAGAAGTCCTAATGCTGAAATTCCTTCCAGAAAAAGACGTGTATGAACAAGTTAAGTTCGAGACCACGCATGATATCTACGAACACGCAAAATTGAAAAAACAAGGCGTGATTAGTGACGATGAGGCGCAGCAGGGTCAGTTTGGGAAAGAAAGGCCGGGATATGAAATTAGTAGTTAACAACGAAAAATACAAATGTGTTTATTTTTTTTTATTGTGACACTAATAATTCATTCATTATTTATTCACTTATTAAATTTCTCTAGTTGATTGTTATGTAATTTGTTAATATTATAGTATTAATTTATTTTTTTTGTTAATTAACAAAATATAAGGGAGGGTCGGGTATTATAAACAATTTTTCATTAAATAAAACAGTAAATGCTATTCAGAGCAGACTAAATAAATTACCGTAAAGTCCCGATAATAAGCAACCCCCTAAAATAAGCAACCCCCCCTCTTCAGACCCAAAAGTCTTAGAAAAGTTGAATAAGCAACCCCTATTTGCGATAGTAATTTTTAATATATAGCAATAAATGTTTTCCGAGTATTTCGATAACCAGTGACCAGATTCAAACGAAAAAACCGCCAAAATGATCGCCTCAATAAGGTGAATCCGATGAGCCATAGAACGTTCGATTTGGTTCATTAGTCGTCGATATATTTACGTTTATTTAAAGGGCTCGAAAATAAGCAACCCCCCTAAAAATTGACTTCAAAAATGATGACGTAGGGGGTTTCTTATTATCGGGACTTTATGGTAGGCGATCTTGATTATAATATGTATAAGATAATTATAGAATCCTATGCTATTGTGTCTGTGATCAACAAAATCATTTAGAGATACATGTAATATTTTTTATTT